ACCTGTACTTTGCTTGTTACAGCACAAACGTACAATAAAGGTCTTATATTCATTATTGCTACTCAATGTTCTCTTATTCCTAAGTGTTTTCTAAGTGTTTATTATTTGGAATTCCGGTATAATCTACAAATAACTAAAAAAAGGTTTGACGACCTTCTTTTACGTACATGGCGTCATGCGGAGGTCAACTGAACTGCAGCCGGAACGCAGTTGCTTAATGCGGCACATATATACACGAACAGAAAAAATCTTCACAGCCCAAATCATACGGTCTAATTGTTTCTGGGCCATGTCAAAAAGTTCTAAGTATGAAATGATAACAAAAATGTGCCGAGAAATGACATTGAATGTCAATATCAGACAGATTTCTCTATCCATAATATTCTTTTTTGGTTGTTTGCCTCTCTGAAATTGTATTGTATGCCTTTAAAAATAATTATTGTAAAATGATTCCGCCCGGGATCGAACCGGGGACCTTCTGCGTGTTAGGCAGATGTGATAACCGCTACACCACGGAATCTCCTGGCGTGAAACCCATGAAAATATCTATAATGACCAAGAAGAGTCAAATAGAGTGAAAGTTCGCGCAGGCGTGGTTTCCGACGCAGTTGAACTTTCACTTCTGATAAAATGTACATCAGACAGTCATGTCATGCATATTTCTCTGTTTGTATATTTATTTGCACAACAAGAAATCACATAATACAATAAATAATATACAGTGCAGGAAGAGGGCGAAAGCGTATATAGCTTGTACTAGGCATTCTTCCTCTATACTAAATAAAATTGGTCAAAATTAAAGTAATGCATAAAATGTCATAACGATAATCAAATAATTAATGGTATGGTTTTCCTGTTTGTATTAAAATATTGTCGGTAGAACATTGCAAAGATAAAAGACTCAACTACATGCTTATATAAATGAAACATTGGTGATGTCAGATCGTGCATAAGTTGCATAATTGTTTTAAGAATAAGATATTTCATAATATGGCATGTCGTCATATATACTACAAAATAAAAATGATTCCGCCCGGGATCGAACCGGGGACCTTCTGCGTGTTAGGCAGATGTGATAACCGCTACACCACGGAATCTGGCTGCTCAACCGTCGCGAAAATATTGACATAACGATGTGTGTAACCTTTGCCCAGTGCGGTCTGCAGGCTGCACCTGTTGTTCTCAGTCTCCCATATGACGCGGGGTCCTAAAATAAACATATGTATTTGTTACTATTCTTCTGGCTACAACGATACATTCGTAAGGGGAAAGGGTGGAAGAGAATTCGATATGAATCCTGAAATATTTGTTTGTCGTTTTGAAGGTCTTCGAACAAAATTAAGGGTTGATTTTAAACCTCGACGAAATGATTTCAAGCCCCCCCCCCTCCAAACGTTCTACAATCTATAAATGTACTGCCATGTAGTGTACAAAGTTACCCCCTATTTTTTGGCTCCATTGTCATTTCCCCTACTCCTGTCAATGTGAGAGAAAGTTAGTATTGGATCGTGACATTTGAACTTCATTAGCAGATTAGTGTCGAGGGAGACATGTCGTCCTGCTATCGGCATGTAGGTAGCGTGGCCGAGCGGTCTAAGGCGCTGGTTTAAGGCACCAGTCATTTCGATGGCGTGGGTTCGAATCCCACCGCTGCCAGACCTTTTTTTCTTTTCTTCAAATTAATACAAATTACTCCAATGATTGTAAAATTTCATACCTATCTCATACCCACTCTTGTATTAGGTAGGTTAGCCTTATAAAAGTGTAGTTAATATGTACTAGTAGATGCCATACTTTATACCCTGTACAATTGTGTAGTAAAGTTATTGTTTAATAACAGACAGATAATGAACAAATAAAAGGCACAAAAATGTATCGTTCCCTAGATCGTGTGTGTCAATGGTACCCTTTTGTCAGATTTCTTTTTACCGAGGTTTACATGAAATCATGACCTGCAACCAAACTAATTAGGTACCGAAGTTTCTGCTATAACTTTTATTATCCGCAGATGATCTCAAAAGTAAAGTATTTACAAAAGTAAAAATGTTCAAATACAATTCAAACTCTACTACTGGATCAATGTTATGCTATAATGCTTTCTGACGTTTTGAGTGACATCCGTCACTCTTCTTCAGCTTCGCTATCCCGTGAAATGGAATGTTTTTAATTAACTGGGAAAATTAGTTGAACATCATGACAAATACTCATTAAGTGCCATTGTTCTGTAAAAGTTAGATGAGGATAGAATTTAAAAATGATTCCGCCCGGGATCGAACCGGGGACCTTCTGCGTGTTAGGCAGATGTGATAACCGCTACACCACGGAATCTTGGTGACTTTCGGACCCATTGCTCTCGATGGCCTGATGATAATTTAAGGTATACGTAACACGCCTGTGTGAAACACAATTTTTCACGGTTTTATTTGTATGTTTGGTCAACGTGGCATCAAAATTTTCCCTGTTACAGACGATTTTTCCGACACCACAGCCGAAAACTATAGACGGGATCGACGATCATCCTTAACTACGTATACGTGAATACGAGACGTGAGACATTCTGCCGAAGTGCTATGCACAATAGATTACAGGTTGCGTACAGACACAGCCCGTTCTGACTTGCTTCAGAATGATCCAGAATACGAGTACTCTACCCATTACATTTATTTGCTTCCATTCCTTTGAGGTTCAGTCACCTTATTTTGATCCTTGTTAAAAATGACTGTTTCCTTTTCTTAGTAATATGTGTATTTGGTTCTATTTTGGATAAAGTGATCACATCCCCACAATTCATAAGCCACGTTGTCAGGATAAGCTTCAAATTTTGATCACGTTTAGTTTTTGAAAGTGTTTCCTTTTCTCGGTACTATGAATACTACGTTAGACTTCTATTTTTGTACTGTGAGCACACAAAACAAGTTGTCAGGATGACCCTCAGGGTACCTAATCGTCTAGATAATTGATATTTGTGTCAAATGACCTTTAAAACAACACAGTATTGTCAGTATGGGGGAGGGGAAGAGATAGAAAATAAGGCCTTTATATATGATACATGTAAATGACAATCATAGGGGCTCGTAAGATAGTTGTACCAACAGTCCCCTGCGAGGGAAGGGGGCAAGATGGTCTTGTGGTTTAGCCTGGGTACCATCCTATTTGTATGCCGGGGCTCCCACACTCGCTTCCCTTCTTTTCGCCCCGTTATACAAGTAGGATGGTACCCAGGCTACTTGTGGTTAGGAATTTGACTCAGAATCTGAAGGTTCTGGGTTCCAATCCCTGGTAGGCTCCACTGCTGCCCATTTGAAAGGCACTTCGTTTGATTCAGGTAAAAATAAGTACCTAGCTTCGGTCTAGGATGGGACGTAAAGCAGGGGGTCCTGTGTTTGAGGTACTCATGTTAAGCAGCATACAGATCCCAAAATTATTGACACCTCATGAGTTTGTGGATACGTGATTATGTACATGTACGCAGGGTGCACACTGGACCTGCGCCTGTCCTTGCCAAATTCAGACAACTTTACCTGTTCTATTTTGGGAACTCTGAGCACATGGGATTTTCCGCCACGCAAGTTGTCAGGATGAGCCTCAAGGTATCTAATAGCTCGTAGACAATCGGTCAGTGCACTGCATGGCCTTAAAACGCTGTCAGAAATGTCAATGGGCTGTGTGTGTGGGTGGGGGGGGGGTGGAGAGACAAAGTTGAGAAATAAGAACTTTACAACTAGGTTGACAACCTTATAGCATAGAAAATGTTACATATCCTCTGTTATCGATACCAAGGCAGGGTATCAAAGGCCTGTCAAAAAGTTTTTTCTCTGTCACGAAAATCTGTATTCTTACCCAGATGTTTTCTCTGTATATGTGTCAGCTTACAGACTCCAGTCTGGTACAAGTGGTAGAATCGGCAATACTATCGATAAAGATTTCTACCGATTTCTGGCTTTGTCGATAGAGCTAGGTTCCTATCAGTATGCTGTTAAAATGTTACAGAGGTTTCCCTTTTAAAAATCTTACATTTTAAGTCAATCCAATGACGCCAATTAACGTTGAAAAGTTCTGGCGAGCATCTTAGAATTTGCAAATACTCCGATTGGAATATCTACCTAATCACCACCTGTCCTTACATGACTCCTGGTGGACCTTGGCTGAGACGTCGCCAACGTCCACTCTCCGAAGGTTCAATCAATTTTGGATTCTTCTAATTTTAGAACAAAACGTCACGTTTCCTTTTCTTGGTACTTCAGAGCACACGGGATTCCCCAGAACAATCAGGACGAGTTGTCTGAACGCCTCAGGCTGTTACATCTGTCATACACAATCGGCCATTGCACCCAATGACCTTCATGGAACACTTCAGTGGACGCTGTTTTTTTTTCGGGGGGTAGGGGGGCATGTTCTGACTGGAGTGGGCTTGGATGGGTGGTGGACAACAGAAAAGGAACCGTTACCTTACGGCTGTTACGCACGACACAATTAACGTTCAAAATATCAATGATATATCTGGTGTATTATTATTATCCCCTGCTACCGTGGAATTAAGTTGTGTCCTGAAGTGCATGCTGGGTAATAGCTGTAAACTTTGAAGCTTGAGTAATGTCGGAGCCCCACGCCCCGGTATGCACAGACACAAAGGCGTTTGAAAAAAAAAAAAAAACAGTCCTCAAATAATGAAGAAAATATTCATATCAAACTATATAACTGAGTTTTTGCCTAAATAACTTGTAAAAACTACACGACTGATTGTTTGTTACTTCCCACCATTCTAGAAGATTCTTGCACGTGGCCCCTCGGGCTGATTTCGAAGGTCGTATGACGTAGGTACCACACGTTTTGCTAAGTCAACGGAACGCCCAGTCATTTGCATATGTAATTGTTTTATTTTTGAAAAATATCGTTTCCTTGTCAGACACTGGAGCCCATTGTCTTGGTTTACCATAAATATGCGCCTGTGCAGAGGTTTGGGGCAGAGACGGGGAGAGACGACGACCGGAGAAGAGCCAAGAGAAGACAGACCGACCAACCAACCAACCGACAGACCGACCGATCGTGACCGACCGACCGACTGACCAACGAAGCTGAGCTCACCTCTGCAATTCAGAAGACCCTTCCAAGGTACGTTCTGCAAAGGTTCTACTCTTCCTATTACTAGCAGGTTATTATTTGTCTCTCATTGTTCAGCTAATACTGATATCAACTGTAATGTTACCTCTATGACACATTATTTTTGTTGGATAATTTTGCAGTGTTGTATCAATTTTGAATGTTTTGGATGAGAAAATCTTTTTTTTTCCTACACGTGAGTTGGCCCTGATTTATGAACACAATTATATATATATATATTTTTTTTTTCTGAACTTTATTTCTTGGTGTGTCAAGACATATGTAATTTTCTTGTTTTAGGACGACAGAAAAATGAGCTACACCGGAGACAAGAAGCCCCTTCCCCCATATGCGGGACCCCCTGCAGATCCCGAGGCTGACTTCAAGGTAGGAAGTTAGAATTTTATAAATCCTGACTGTTATATACTTTTTCTCACAGTCTTTGTTTGTAAAATAAGACATGTGTCCGGCCGTGAATAGTTTTATCAGATTGATAAGTCATTGAATAATTTGCCCTGAGGAAGGTGACAGAAGGTCACCGAAACGTCGGGTGAATAAAGCTCTTGGTTGTGTAGAAATAAAGTCTCTTATTCTGCGACACATATGATAATATCTTATTTCTGCGGACTGAAAGTGTAGTACAATCTAAGAAAACCTCCATGAAAGCTTACTTTTTCACCTCTGCAGGACCTTACCGCTCACCAAAAGAAAGTGAGGAATGGACTTGTAGTGGGGGCCGTGTCTCTCGTCCTGCTGGTGATCGGAGCCACCCTGCTGGGCGTGTATCTGTCCAGGGACGCCAACAACATACTCACGGTGAGAGCCCGATCACACATATACGATCGAAAATTAACGGAATGCATTCTTATGATAGTCGTTCGTGTGTTCTGCAAAATTCAGTTGTCAGTCCTGAAATACTTGAGCCACAGTCTTGTCTTGGTAGTCCTTCGCAATCGAAGACGACCGTCATCAGTGTTCTCATTTAGGGGTGTGTGTGACCTCATGTGACTTCTGAGTCCAAACCTTGAGGCACACAGTCGTCCACACATTTATGGTGGTCCGTTGTCAGGACTGCTGTTGTTGTTGTTCTGTGCATGTGACGTTTCTGAGGCACAGTAGCCACGACAAACATTAGCTATTAAACAAGTTGTAGAATTGAGCTCGTTGTGATGAGACCATGTACATGTAGTTTAGTCGTCTGTTGTGGTAGAACCGGCCACATGCCTGCGAGGCTGGTGTGTAATGCACCGAATGAAACCCATACATGGCTGAACAATCGAGTTTCAAAACAATGTTATTAACGCTGTGATTGTTCCTCTCTGACCCCGACTAACAAACAGACCAACCGTAAGCTGAAGTACGAGGGAAAGGTCATCGAAGAGAAGATAGAGGTGGATGTCAACTTGAAGACTGAGACTTTCTACACCAAGAGTGAGGACAGAGAGACTGCCATCATGTATGACACCAAAAATGTACGTGAGAAAAATTATCTGAAAAACAAAAACTACTACCTGAGAAAAAAATTCTCTCAACAGCGAAAAAATACTACCTGCCAGTGAGAAAAAATTCTTTGAACAACAAAGAATACTACCTGAGAAAAAATTCTTTCAACAACAGCTACGTATAACTGAGAAAAATTATCTGAAAAACAAAAACTACTACCTGAGAAAATTACTTTCAACAAAAAAATACTACCTGAGAAAAATTCTTTCAACAGCAAAAAATACTATTTGAGAAAAATTATTTCACCAAAAAAAATATTACATGAGAAAAAATTCTTTTAAACAACAAAAAGTACTACCTGAGAAAAAAATTCTTTAAACAACAAAAAATCTGGGCATTTATGATAAGCATCGTCTCTGTATGTTGCTGACTATAATTAATCTCATACACCTCTCAACCTTTTTTTAATGCGTATTTCGATGATACGTCGCTTTCTTGGGTTCTTACCTCTATCAGGTACATCTATAACTCCGTACTTTGTTTTGTAGGAACTGGCTGCATACAAGTTTTCCGGCCTCCACATTTGTTTCATCGTCGAGGACAACACGTACAGTGAAGAGGCTGCCGAGCAACTGGCAAATGATGTGAAGAACGAAGATGAAGAGGTAAGGACGACTGTTCTTGGTGATCTTCACTGTGAGCCGTTTTTGTTGTTGCTGTTAGATGTATGAGGTAATGGGTAGTCCCCATAGCTTTTTCGAGACTGTAGGTCATGGTTGTTTAGAGTAGGGTACGGTATTTGAAGGTAGAGCCCATCCCTCTCCTTCCTCCACATTTTACGTCCTCAAGGACACAACGTCTAGCCAGGAACGCCAAGAATCGAACCCATGACCTCTCGATCTCGAGTCTGCTAGTCTAGCCATTCAGCCATTCGACGTCTCGTGATGTTACTACTCCCACAACGTTTGTTTTAATTTGTTACAAGATACCTCTAGTTGTGAAAACAGGCTGTTCCTTTCGTTGTTCAGGACCGAGTAGAGGAGGCAGAGTCCGGCGGGGGACTGAACCTCACCCTGGATGAAAGTCGCGGAAAGGTCGACAAGTCAATCCTGAGCGAGAACATGCGCGACTTCTGCAAGAGCCATGAAGTCTACTGGGCCAACATTCGCCAAGTTCCCTCGGCATCGGACAGCGCGCCCGCAGCTGCTGATGACGGTAAGGCCGATAACATATAGCCACGCCCACATCTCTCAAAATATGCAAATACTTGACTCTCATTGGTCGATCCTCTAATCGCATTGCCATCATTTGGTTGGACTACTAATTGTGATTGACATTCAGGATTGGTCTGTTGATTTCCGGCAAAAATGACCTTCAAGTCCTTGTGCCCTACATGTCCTTGTAAGAAGGTGTTGGTAATGTTTATTTTCTTCATGATCAAGAACACAACTATAACTAAAAATGATTTTTGTTGAGGGCCCTTTCCTAGAATTATATGAACAGTACTAAAACTGTTCAATACCCACTTTGTTTGCAGGTTGGAAATAGTTTTAATTTACTGTTCACCCGATTCGAATGTAGCTTTACAGTAAAACAGCAGGACAAAAGAAATGCATTGATATGAGTTCGATGTTCTTGTGTTTTTCTCTCATAATTTCAGATAACTTAGCACTCAGTTTGAACTGGATTATTGCTTGTTTCAGGTGCAAAGAGGCGTAAGAAGCGACGCAGCTGCTACCACTACAGATGTGATTGTGTTTACTATTGGTGGTGGCATCGCTGCTTCTACTCCTGCCGCTACTACCCGTGCCGTTCGTATCCATGGTGGGGCAAGTAAAGTCATTTAACCCAGGACGTAACTAGCCTCTACCAGGAGTTAAGAGTAGCTAGAGACTTGCGACCAACAAAGCGTGATATCTTGAAATATCAAGATATCAAGCCGGGGGAGTTGGTTTCGGGTGCGGCAAACTGTACTCTCTTGCGGACCAGCTCCCCTGGAATGTTATGTCTCTGTTTAGCCAGCCAATTTCTACTCTTTCCAGCGGTATCCTGAAGCCTGGTAGAGGCTAGGATGTAACATTTACTTTCTTGTTAGAATAACGGTTACGATTTAACTATTCGAAATCTTACTGTGGTCATGGGATAATGCAATGGATTGTAGTCATAGAAAAACAGAAAAGCCACATTTTGCTATACTGTCTGTGACTTCAGTAGTGTCTGTTTTAGATGTCAGGTGAAAGAAGAACTTTCAACAGCTACTAAACATAGTACATAAAGAAAAGGGTATGAAAATTAACATCCTAATAACTGAACATCAAGAAATAAATTAGATACTGTGTACATCAAGTAGGGCTAGCTTCGGCATTTTTTGGTAATCACTAAACAGTCTTTTATATATTCACCTATTTCTGCATTGTAAGAGTTGCTAAAGTATAACTTTCAGAAAATTTTCTTCCTTTTTTCGCAAGAGGCTAGATATCGCTATCCACTATATTTGTATGGCAGTCGGCACAGAAATGCTATACTATTTGATAGTTATGTCCATGTAAAATTTTACTTTCGTTGTTATTTTTAACTTTACGTTATCAGATAGAGCAACTTAAAGTATTCTATCAGGTGTGACCAAACATTCCCAGTTTTTGTTAATAATCTTATATTTTGTCATTAGACTTCGGCGAAGAGTACGCAAGAGATGAAAAAGCTTCTTGTTGTGGGAAAACACTTGTATATGTCATAGATAATTGTTATTGTTTTCATGTGTACAAGTGTATAATCTAAGTTGTAGACGCTTTGTTCAAGCTATTGATTAGATTCATTCACGTACAGCATTTTTTAAAACTGGAAGCATAAAAGGATAAGATTACATGTACTTGGTGAAAAAGGTTCAAGTTTTCAAGTTTGGGGATGTCTCCTTCAATAAAAATGGTGAAGGATTACGAAACGAGACTTTTTGTGTGTCATCTTTAACTGTTGCTCAAGTAATTTTTTTTTATTTCAACATTTCAACAAAACCACAGTGGTAAGTAAACGAACTCAAGAGAAAGAGCTTATATTAACGTCACCACTTGACATAAAATGATAATTAAAAATTTATTTATTTATCTATTTATTATATTTCTGTATTCTTTGACCAGGGTGGCACTACTCAGTGACATAGCACTCCTTTATAGAGTGGCCCTGGGTACGACACATATATACACGGAAATACAACGATATATACACCAAAAACAATATCATAAACGTGATCCATTACTCGTAATCGGGGTCATGCCAGGTCGTGAGGCAAAAATGTGAAATAGGTAAGGTCCGATGTACAGGAACAGAATTAAAAGACTAAGGTGATGTTATGTGAAATACATTAAAAACCATAGGTCCATAGGTGACAATTCTCCGTGAAGTTTTATATTTTGCATATTGGGAACAGTATGTATGTAAACAGTACTAGTGTGGTAACAACGTATCGTAAAAATGGGTAAATCCCTGGTCAAATACATAAGATCGCGCTCGTGGCGGCCGCTCTCCCTTGCATATCGTGGTAGTTGTAAACAATATCCTGGCCTGGTATCCAGTCTGTTTCGTGGTAGGGGCCGCAAGAGCTCTGTCCCGCCCGCCTCACATAGGCTTCCCGGTGTGTATTTCACGAGAGATTGATCCCAAGCATTCTGTCTCTTATTAGCGTAACACTCCTACCGGGACGGCCTGTTGCACTGGGCGGGGAAGCTATTAGAGCTCCCGAAGACACAACCTGCCTGAACACCCCCAATACTCCCAAACAAATAACATCCAATATCTGCTTAGGCCACAGCAAGTGGGCCACTTAAGGATGACATCAGCGAGCGCACTAGTTTTCACCTGATTTTAGAAAAAAAAAAACTTAAAAAAAATATTTTGTTGCCTTATTAAACTACGTATTTGTGTAAGGAAACCGCAATTCAGCACTTGTGCTGCAAAGGTTTTTTTATGTGGAATAAACCATTCTCTCTCTGACAGTGTCATTTACACCGGACAGATGTGCGATAGTACCAGGTCGATGTGGTTCTCGATGACGTCATTAGGCGGATGCATGTCGTCATCGTGCCACATAGATTCCGACATGTCTCTGACGTTGATGATGGAAATGTTGAGATCTCCGAGGATTTCATAGACTATATCAAACAGCTGATAGGCGTACCAGTCGCCATTCTCCACGAAGTGTTGGAACTGATGGTGGTGCCCGGTGTTGGGGGTTCTCCAGATGACTGTAGTGTCTGGATAGAGGCTGTGGAGTCGCTGTATGGCGTGTCGAATGCCGTAAAGCCGCGATCGGAACGTCAGAATGGGCTCGGCCATGAAGTGAGCCCACAGAGTTAGGAGGATGACAACGTCTCGTCCACCGGCGATGCCGTCTAATTCTTCCGCGACGTAACCCATGTCGTTTCCGTTCATCAGTGGCATCTGGTTTCGTGGTTCTTACGTTTATAAGTACTGGCAGGAAATTTCACTCACGGCTGTACTTATAAACGCCAGTACTTATAAACGTAAGAACCACTGACGGGCCGTGAGGAAGGGGTAAACTTTTGAATGGGAAGGATTTGTGCAACGCCACTTGGCAGAAAGGTGGTCCAGAATGTTTGTCGGAGCATGGGCTACTTTAAATTTGGCGGCACAGCCTTTATTGTTATTTTGCAGACGATTTTCGTGTCGACTGTGAGCTGTGCCGCCATTGGGGGCTAAGCAGAAGGACGGGGGCAAAGCAGAATTGCGCCGGGGGCGTAGAGGAACGACGGGGGCGAAGCAGATTTTTTGCGGGGGCGAAGCAGAACGGGGCGGGGGCGAAGCAGAACGGCGGGGGCGAAGAGGAAGGAGTTTCATGAGGGTGTATAGAGTCTTGTTCTGCAGGCATCCGGCGACCGACTCGATGGTACGAAATCTTCGCGCCTGGCATCGCAGCGAGGTCCAAGTCCCGTTGAACCAGTAGCCTTCCGACGCCGTCTGGGGCAACCGAGGGCCGCAAAGGGGCAACCGTTTTCCCTGCATTTTCCGCAAACGGCCTGGAAAAGAGCGACATTATTAAAATTAACATGAGATGCTATGGATGAAATGTAATAGGTGGGTATGTATAAGTCAAAGGAAGGTCAAGTTCGATAATGTTTATGGATAGAATAGAAATTCTTTATTTGAGGAAATCATACCCGAAGGCTAATTGCTTTAACTAAGTCAAAGGTGGAACAATACAATGATAGGAACAGATACAACTTGTGTCTGAAAAAACGTACTTTTACTGATAGGCTTGCTATCATAAGGTTTGACTTCTTTGATGGAAGTGGATAATGAATCAGGCTATGCATCTTGTTCAGAATAACTAATAAACTGGTGGACGTGCATGTACCAACTACTATTAGTATGTACCTAATACCAGCTCAGAAAAGAACAAGAAACAGTCATGCCTTCAAGTACTATTCAACCAAGGATTGGGGTGTTCAAAAACTCATTCTTTCCTTCGTGTATTAAACTTTACGTCAAGTCACTATCAGATTGAATGTCTCCTTTTGATACTTACGCTTTCCTTTCACCTGAAGACTGATGTTACGTGGTATCTCTTCTAGTAAATCCCGATCTCTGAAATGTAGAGTTAAACAACAGATCTGTGCATCATCATGGAATTTCATCTGTGTTGGTGGTTACATGCTTCAAGTTAAAACGTTTGATCCAACACAAAGAAATTCTCTCACCTAGAGCTTTCGACCAGTCACTCTGGTCCTCCTCATCAGTAGACTAAGTAGAATTTCTTTGTGTTGGATCAAAAGTTTTAACTTTAATAAACACTTCCGTATATGTAGGGCCATGCATTTTCTTGTGATGTAAACACAAATGTATATTTTCCATTGCGACTGTTACCTCTGAGGTTAACAAGGTGCTACTAAACTACATGAAAAAAAAGAAAATTCATCAATTTGAAATTTACTGATAGTAGTACCAGTAAAGTTGTGTTATGTTTACTTTTTATTCATTTATTTATTTATTTAGTTTTACCACGTACAATAATATGCACTGTGGATGGCATGGCGAAACAGGTGTTTCTGACATGAAACACCTTTTCAAAGCCGTCATACCAATAAAATGACAAAACAATACAAAAAGTAATCAAATCACATAATACAATTAGAGAAACAGGTAAATAAACTTAGAACTACAAGGCAAGTCAACTTATTTACATTATTTACAGCAGTAATGTCACAGTTAGCGCAGTCTTGCGGCCAGGCATGTAGCGCAACCACAAGATAACTGCCACGTACAGGGTTGCTCTAAACTGTAGGTTTGGCAAAATCTGTTATACATAAATGCGGAGAGTTTCCTTTTAAAGGCAACCACATCAATTAGGATTGAAGCCCTGATTCCTAACCCTCTAGTATCTGCATCAAGCTTGTTCCAAATCGTTGTAACACGTGGTATAAACGAAGATGCAAATGAGGATGATTTTACTCTTGTTGGAACTAGCATGTGTGCCCTAGAGCTGCGGGGTGTTCTTGAAGAGAAGTCAGCCAGCCTCGCAACATCCGAATCATACACATTTGCGTGGGACTTAACAAATACTACAACATCACATATTTCCCTTCTATAAGAGAGGGGCAGCAAGACCAGGCTAGACAGTCTTGACTTGTAATCGAGGTGTTCAGCGGAGGGCCCAAGAATGAATTTCGTTGCTCTGCGCTGAACACCCTCGATAAACAGCACCGCTCTTGACAATAGTAGTAAGCAAATTTAACAGTCAATACCAGTGTCGTATGTCACGATCGCCACTCCGATTGGTAAAAACTATACATCATTACGTCATTTTCCATGCACATTCCGGTGTAACCATCAAACATGGCGTCAGGCCTTAGTCACGTGAGTGTGAATATCACGTTACCTGGGAAACAGCCTTTTTTCCTCCTCAGTCGCTATCTTATCGTGCATCTCCAATGTGCTGACGTGGTCACGGTGACAGCCCAGGAAAGACTTGCAGGAACTCTCCCTCGGGCGTTGGCAGTAGAACGACGCGTTCAGACGCGGTTTGGAAAAGTCGCACACATCGCGCAAACTGAGGCTCTGTTGGGGGGTATTGGAACACTGCATCCACTCAGTGACGTCGCTGTTTTCCTCCTGGAAGCCACAAACCATGATGCGTCTGACAACGGAAATGTCCTGCAATCTTCTCAAGACCTGCACGGCTTCGCTGGAATGTACCAACTTGACCGCCACCGAGAGTTCTCCCGGGAAACTAAGGAAGAAGTTCGCCACGTAGGTCCCGTTTCCGAAGTAGGTGATTTTACCAGACGTGCTAGCCTGTACAGGGGATCGGCTGTACACCTTAGCTCGGATAAAATCCCCTCCGTACGTCTTCGGTCGTCCTCTCGTATCCATGGCAACGATCTTGATGGACAGGTGACGTCCGACGCGATACCAGGGCCGAGGGTTGACGACGCTGATGACGAAGTTTTCGGACTTAGTGACCCGTTCGTAATCTACAGAGCCGTTCTGTTGATGGTGCCAGAGCCGCGACAGGACGGCGTCCGACTGAACCACAGGACCGCTGTTTGGAACTGGGGAAAAAAACTGGGGAAAAAAATCAAGTTGACACCCGTCATTGTCAATCTTAGGTAGTACGAAAGACCAGAGGAACATTTCTAAAAGAAATCGGGTCAGTTCTCATCGTTCAAAACTTATTTCTCATCGTTCAAAACTTATTTCTCATCGTTCAAAACTTATTTCTCATCATTCAAAACTTATTTCTCATCATTCAAAACTTATTTCTTATCGTTCAAAACTTATTTCTCATCGTTCAAAACTTATTTCTCATCGTTCAAAACTTATTTCTCACCATTCAAAACTTATTTCTCATCGTTCAAAACTTATTTCTCATCGTTCAAAACTTATTTCTCATCGTTCAAAACTTATTTCTCATCGTTCAAAATTTATTTCTCATCGTTCAAAACTTATTTCTCATCATTCAAAACTTATTTCTCATCGTTCAAAACTTATTTCTCATCGTTCAAAACTTATTTCTCATCGTTCAAAACTTATTTCTAATCATTCAAAACTTATTTCTCATCGTTCAAAACTTATTTCTCATCGTTCAAAACTTATTTCTCATCGTTCAAAACTTATTTCTCATCGTTCAAAAGCTTTACAGCGAAACGACCGGTCACATTCATACACAAGATACAAAGAATGCGCCTCCTTGTGGCTGCACTTGGTGCTGCACCAGTACTACTGAAGCATCAAGAATAGTCGCCAGGGGGCGCAACATGCAATGCTTTCTGAGACAGGTCAGCACCTAACTGCATATAGTCTACATAATGTCCTAGGTATACCAAATCCTAGCCATATACCATATTTCAGAGCAATTCATCTATATAGATTCCTGAATTATGATGCCCAATGTTACACAAACACTGCTACAAATACTGCCATTCAAGAACATTGCCTTAATGGTAACAAATAAGTGGTAACAAATAATTATTGTTATTATTATGATCAGTTATCATTATTGTGTAAGGGATGGTTCATTGCATTGTGTGTATGTTTTAATATATAAATAAAAAAACAAATAAAAAAAATGAGTGGACGTACAGATACTTTTTGTATCAAAATAAATACAGTTTGTACCAAAATGCAAAACAAAATAAAAATCATCACAACATTTACCTGTTGTACGTACAGAGTGCCCACCAGACAGAAGCCCATGAGGGTGAACATTGCTGTAGTAAGGATCGCATTTCCCCCCATGTTTCATACGAGTGGTATTCCAGACTGCTTCGTCCTGCAAAAGATATATGTATATAACAGCGAGCAGATTATTATTGGAATGAGCAGAGCACTTTGGACTAATGCCTCTGACTATTTACAGCGTAGAGGTACATATCCAATCTTTTGTCAAAAACTTCTCTGTTACATAGCAGATCATAATGACCCCCAGTGGGGGTCTTCACGCTTTGTTAAAATTTAAAAAATATCAAGATTTATTCCAAAGATCTCAATATTTTAGACAAAATCTTGAGATGTTATAAGGCAATCTTGAGATTTTTCATGACAATCTCGAGATCTTTCAGAAAATCTTGAGATGAAAACAAAAGGTCTCAAGATCTTTCCAAATGTTTTCAAAGTATCTTGAGATTTTTCCATAGCATCTCGATATGCTTTAAAAAATATCAAGATTGTTTAAAAGATCTCAGGTTTTTTCAAGATTGCTTTTAAAATCTTGATATTTTTTAAAGCATCTCTTTTAAAAAAGATTTCCGGAATAAAAAAGAAAGCCCGATAAAAAAAGCCTAAAACACGTCAAAAATAAGCCAAAGCCAAAACATCTGTTGGGGGGATGAGCAACATTGTCAATGAAATTAGAGCAGACACGATAAATACTAGTACACAGTGTTGCCTGCTCAAGCTTTACAATTAGGCCATGTTGATTTGATTATATGGATGACATCCTCCGGAAACCCAAAAATTGATGCGCGCGTGCGAATAAAAAAAAATTTTGCAAAAAAAAAAGTTTTCATTTTGAAATGTACGCGGTCATGAGGGTTGAACCAATGGGACAGAATATGGTTTGGCGAATAATCTAGTCTTCAAGTTCATTTCTTTACAATTTCGTCTTTTTTCGTTGGATTTTGGCATTCTACGACATTGGTATAGTTTTTATTTATTATTTTTGTAACTTACGGTATATTTTTGCTCATTTTGCAACTGTTTTGTACGATTTACAGTATGGTTGAAAACGTTTTTTTTTTGAAACGGCCGAAAATTCATGCGCGCGCGGATGTCATCCATATAATCAAATCAACATGGCCTTAGAACAAGCATGATATATACTACTACGCAGTGCTGCCTGCTCAAGCTTTACAATAAGAACAAGCATGATATATACAGGGTTAAAAACATTGTCCTATGAAAATGTATTACCAGACGTGAGCGGTCAGTTCAGACAACATAAACATTGTGTCGCTCCGTTTGCTTTTCTGCCTAAGTTTTGGCTGTTGGAGTACATGTATATGAATGAACGCCAAAAAACAGTTACTCAAGCAACTGGATATGCTTTTGAAAACGGTCAGACGTTTCAGCTGGTATACACCAGCTTTCGTCAGTGACTCATACTAGCTAAACGAAAGCAAGTGGATACTACTAAGCTGAAACGTCGGACCGTTTCCAAAATCATATCCAGTTGCTTGAGTAATTTTTTTTGGCGTATCGTATTACCTGGACGTCTAACCTTCACTGACGTATATGAATGAACGAATAAACGAATGTGTACATACTGTTACATGCAGTGACTGAGAAAGTTAACCAACAGTCTCCGACAGCAACAGAAAACACTGAAGTAAAATGTGTGCAACGCCCAATGCATGTTAATCGTTTAACCCTAGCATGACACACATGTATAGGACCAACAGGACCAGTAATTACACGTGAAGAAACATGCATGACTGAATAAATGGGACATACAAACGGCGATAATGTGCAGGAGAAGTCAGCTGCTTTAGGCGATGCAAGGACATCATGGCTATATAAGTATAGTAATGTCTTTGGGTGAAGGCTGGTTACCAGACCTATTTTAGCTCCCTAGTCTATATCGAGGACGAAAGTTCCAGGGGACGAAAAGACCCGTTACTGCTTGGCCGATACCCTCTATTTTCACCCACTAACCACTGGAGTAAAAACAGGCGGCAGTTAAAAACGTGGATGTGCCGCTTTGGTAATTATGGCCTAATCATCGGGAAAATTAGGGCGGTTTCCAAAACACTCGACAACACTGAGCAAACTCTCACTTGGAGACCCGAAGTTATACTTCAAGATTTGACAACAACGTTCTGTATGTTTGTTGTCTTTTATCAAATCATATACATTTTTCTCTTTCATATCCTCTATCGAATTTAGATGGCAGTAGATGTGATCCTTTGAGTAACAGATGCACCGTAGCACGTGTAAAGCTTCGCATAAGGAAATACATTGTTTTTGCTCTTTTTCCTAATCCTCCTCTTCCATTCCAAACAAATAAGGTCAATGACCTGAACCATACGTCTGTTACCATGGTAACTAGTGTTGGGTTACATCATGTTGCAATTGAATAGCAGGAGGGATTTAGACTCCTGTCCCTATATAATTTGTGTTTGAGTAATAATTAACAGAACAAACCACACGGGAAGGTAAACATTGTGTATTTGCTTTGCAAAAGTCACATTTCTAGTATCTAGTATATATTCTGTATTCCGTTTATCTAATTTGATATCTGTTAACACACCGGGAGTGTCTAATATCCTTCATTGGTGGAGGCAAATCGGTAAAATAAATGCAATGCTAGAAAAGAGTTCTATTTACCGTTGCAAAAACATGCGTACTAAACACTGAGAATGACCCTGATCCTTCCTTCTGCTTGCTGTAATGAAAGGTCAATTCGGGTCATGGAGAGATGACGTACATGCAGAACGTACTGCGTCTGCGCGAAACCACTGTTTCTGTTGATGGAGGGTACAGCCTACTATTGGAAGCTTCCATTGAAATTGAAAATTAATATATGGTAAACATATCAGAAAAAAAATCCATACTGGTAAATGACGGGAATTTCATACTAGCGGCATTTGGAAGTGAAGGAAACATGAACATCATCAAACATAACTTATTCCAAATAGAAACATCATTTGCATAATCTATGAGGAAATGTTAGAATAGCTTTCTTTATTTGAAAGAATACTGTCATTGGGTGGCGAATATAAACAACTGAAATAATCGATGCAAATAGGGATTTTTTTTGCAGAATCAATGAGATAACGAAACATTTATTCGTCAATCATCAAGGTTAACATTATTTGGCGAAGGTATGAGTTCTTGGAACTCTAGCTGCCAATGTACTTGCACGATTTTGCACACGTACTTGCGCCTATATAACAAAGAGTCAAGCAGGAGGTCACAGACAGTAGTTGCCTGAGTCTACCCTTCGACATGGCCGTCTTTAGCATTGCTGCGAGCATCTTGATGCTTCTATTTGCAGGCCCAGATGAAACGTTTGGTGCAGACCCGCTAGGTTGGTGATATTTTCTGACGTTATCCTTCACTCTTGATATTATATTTTATAATCTGAACTAAAAAAAGGGGTCCAGTATGTACATGTACAAGACGTAGCGGTATGTTGGTAAGCACCGATGAAGACAAGTCGCAGTAACGTTGGCAGTTTTGATTGTCCTACATGTTTTTTTATCATCCAATATCTAGTAGAGTGTGAGGTAAAGAAAATGTTACTTATCTGCATTGTAACACTCTTGGGAACACTGTAGGAACAGGATTGTAAAAGTGTGTAAACACAGGGAAGTGTAAAACCTATAAGGGGGCTAGGTTAAACTTTATTACATAAACTTTATTGCACAAACATTTTAAAAGGTACAACTGCTGCAATATAACAAGACATACCATGAGAATAATCTATCTTACAAAGACTATGTAGTATAGGATGAGAATGCGTTTTTATGACTAGAAAGGCCAACATTTGCTCAGGAGCAAATACAGCATATTTCATCCATTCTTCCGGGCCACATTCCAAATTTAAGTACACTGTTCCATATGAACCTTTTCCATACCTCCCTGTTAGTAACGATTGTTCTCGAAACCCCATGTACCATACCGTGCTATTTAGTGTTCTGATACCCCACGTTCTTGTAAGTAACAAATATTCTCCAAATCCCGTGTATCGCTCAAAACCCAAATATAACCATTTTAAAAGCTTATATAATAAAAAAATGAAGCAAAAACGCCCGAGGGCTTTTATCTCCATACCAAATTTCTGATCATTTGGCCCCAAAATGAAGAAATTGAACCCATTTGTCGAAATGGCAGGAGAATGAGAAGAAAGAGTTTCTGAAGAAGAAACACGAGAGAAAACAATATATTTCAGCCACACCACAGTATGGGTGAAATATAATAAAAGAATGACCGTCCTGGGAGTGTGCACCTGTAGTGCCACCTGATAAGGTCATGATAAGGCCTTCTTTCGGAGGTTGACGTATTTTTGACGTACGCACGTCCTGATGACTCGGTGAGAAAAGTCAAGCTGACACGGGAATGTAAATATGTTTATCACATTATGACAGGGACATGCAAACAGTATGATGTAACTTTACGTCATGTGGAACAGGGACCAGGCAGGGAGAGGTACGGTGGCTGGGCTGGGCTGGGCTGGGAGGGAGTGCTACGTACAAAAAAAAAAAAAAAACAGACAAAAGAATGACCGTTATGGTCACTCATTGGGCTCTCAGATCATTTTCCCATTCACCGATTTACAATTCCCATGATACATTGCGCTTGGGGGAATTCCCAGGTTGCATAGCGCCATGTGATTTGAATCATGTGTTCTTGTGATGTTTTTTTTAAATTCGTTGATGACAAACTAAAACAATGAAGGTTGCTGCCTTGATAATAGATAATATTTAGATACTACAACAATAATAGTAATATCTATATACTCGAGCAATATAGTTTTTAGTATTGACAGACGGTATGGCGTTACCACTGTAACGTTACAAACCACATGTTCAATGTTAAAAAGAACGCAACAATTTCATTCTCTATATGTTGTCAGAGTCGATCCATGGTAAGGCAATTAATGTTGAGCATGAAATGCCCCAACACCTCGAAAACACACAGAAAAATAAGCGGTTTAACGTCATCAGGATGCCTTCCTGCGATATGCAACCTGTGAGAGATTTTAGCCCCCCCCAGTTGCAATGCATCCTGGGAATGGTAAAACAGTGAATTGAACCAATCGTTTATCAGTATGTAGCGGCCAACAGTCTATTGTAACTATTCTCTTGAAATACTAGTCCTTTGAGTAACAGGCCTGACCTGTCAGTTTGTGATATATTGGGCCTGTGACGTAGTGACGTATGACGTAGTGCTGATCAGACAGTTTAGATCCTTAGCTCATTTATATGTTCATTAGCTAACCCAATAGTACCGTAGTAGCTGGTGAGAGCAGCTAGGAGAAATAATTAGTTGTCCCGCTCGCCTGTCACACACTAGTTGTAGATTGTATATACATGTAGTTCCCATCTGACTAAACCATTGCATGTCTCTGTTGTAAGTATAACTCTAAGACTGTAACTAGACCATTGATCTGTAATAATTTCTGAAGCAGTCAGGCACAATATAACAACCCGTACAATCGTAATCGATCCGGCTCTGTCTCCTCTATCTCTCTCGAGTGATAAAGTTAACGGTAAGGAGATAAGATAGACGTAGACACGAACGTTAGTTTGGAATATATAAGACCTCAAAAGTTACATGGTTACTATTGACAGGATTGACAAATATAAATCTCTTCCTATGTGTGTCCAGAGAGCCGTCGGGCCGACCCTGACCTTGTGTCCGTGTCCGGGTTCTCCTCTGGCGGGTCCTTCGCCGTGCAGTACCATGTCGCGCACTCACAGAGCATCATGGGAGCTGGCATCCTGGCAGGAGGTATTCAAACATCCTGATGTTTTTGGCGACGCTCCAGAAGCGAGCCTAATAGTACAGTATGTAATCAGTCTACAAAATATCGTGACAACAATACATTTCAAACTAGAAAGGCCAATATTTGCTTTGGAGCAAATACAGCGATGGCTTCACCACATTTTACGACATGGCAGGGAAAGAATGAGAAACACAAGGGAAAACAATGATTTACATTGATATAACTATAATATGAAGTAACATACAACTAAAACAACAGTTGGATAGCTATTCCTTACATTATTGGTTAGGATTTTTAATTGCATAATGCAAACTGTTGATTTTCAAATAAAAAAAAAAACGTCCATGCCCCGCATTCCAATGCTGGAGCAGGAAAGCTTGAAATACCTACCAAAACACTTGAATACAGACATACTGTCAGTATGGAAATGCTCTGTGCAGGTGTTAATCAAGTTAAATCCCAACAGCCAATCAGCAAGAAGAATAGAGGAAAGCTGCATGCCTATTGGTTGATGCCCTGCATTCCATTGTGATGACTCATGCCCAAACGTGGTACACTAACACAGTAATACATTTGCTATAACACAGCCAAAAAACTCAAATAAAACCATTATAAAAGCCTGTATCACAAAAATTAAAAAAAACGCCTGGGGTATTTGCCCACTGTACCTCCATACCAAATTTCAGGACCTTAGGCCCTAAAATGAAGAAGCTGAATCCATTTAAAACATGGCAGGAGAAGGAGAAGAAACACCAGAAAAAGCAATATGGTTTCACCACACCACTTCGTGGTGTGGTGAACCCATAATGATGAATAGATCAACAGATACCACGTAGTAACGACAATCGTTATGGGTTGTGATGGGTTCTTTGGACGTATGCTGTTATACCAGTAGTCTATAGTTGTCTTTTTAAGCTGCTTTATGTAACATTTGGACGATACAAAATGTAGATTTTCGGATCCTTTCTAGATCTTCCAAAGTAAGTTGAATCAGCCCCACTCCATTGCAAACAAGTGACATTCAGGGATTGTAGTTGTAAAAATACGATGTGTTTACGCATGTGTTTTAAAGTTTGAAATACAGCTGTCAGCCATGTTTGTTTACATTCCGATAGTTTGTGGTGACACCACAAACTGAGTCCACCTCGTGTCGGCTGTTTTAGCACCAACCATAAATAGAAATAGAAATTTGAGACAAATATGGAGAAATTAATTTACAATCACACCAATATTTTTAGATAAAATATTTCCACTTTTGGTGCAAAAAATGTTACATGATGCCCCTTTAAATTTCTTCCAGCACCTTACCACAGTAGCGGTACCATCCTGTACAACATCCCCGGCCTACAGCACGACACACAGACCTTCTATCAGTTCAACCTTGTGGACGACCCTTCCAACATGGCGGCCGACAGGGTCTATCTGTTCCACGGCTCCAGTGACATCATGGTGCCAGAATGTGCGTAACCTTTGAATTGTTTCTCTCTGAACGAAAAGTGGGATTAACCAAATTGATGATAAATGCCAGGTATAGGTCTGACAATAGTCTTCTGTGCAGGCTTCGGAGTGGGGTGGGGGAATGATACTGCGTTTTGTAGAATATTGAACGCGTTCTTTTGCTGGCCATCTTACAACCAGCCGTCCAGAGAAGGTTAACGTTTAATTTGTACCCGCCACGGTTTGCTAACAGAAAAGAAATCAAGAAAGGAAACAAAGTATGCTGTTTGATGCACATGATTGTGTCCCAGGTACTAGGTACGTATGACAGGTACTAGCGCATATGGGAATGCCAAAGGCATGACGATCAAATCTCAAAAGAAGCCAATTATCTGACTTATCTGACAATTATCATCACTTTTGTAGATCTGTACCACTTAACTTACATATACTAAAACATAGTGGGTGTAGACCATAGAACCCAGCGCTACTTGACATGTATTCTCCAAGGGTGAAGTTTGTCCTAAACTAAGAGACCAAGTCCGGGTAATTAGTTCTCAGCGCAAAATGAGGTTATCTAATAGACCTTTTCGAGGAAACAATGATTTTAAACATGAACGTGTGCTGGTATGCTAATCCACAGATGCCATGACTGCGTTGAGAGAATACTACAAAGGATTCGTCGACAACCACAACATTCAGGAAGTGCTTGACGTGCCTGCATTTCATGGATTCGTGAGTTAACAAAACTAGCTAGATCTTGTTTTTGTTTGCTCAAATTAAAAGACAATGATATTAAATGGCATTGATTTCCCCATTGAAAACAACGCCATACGTTACACATGTGTGCGTGGCTCAATGGCTTACGTTTTAGTTAAAATCTCGCTGTTTGTTTCTTTGCTTGTCTTTTAAAAACTGAGCATTGTTTATTTTTGGTCTCACCATCAAGTCCAGGGTACTTTTTGCGGTCGAAAATATTCTTCTATTATATTTTGTATGTATGTGTTACAGACCCATTCCTAGTTGGTGCAGTTTGTAGCTGGAACATTCTTTCAGAACGACTAAATCTTGGCCTTTTTTACGGATTAAAAGCCAACGATACCAAATGTATTGGAATAGACATGACATATGGAGCGTGCGTCTCTTTATTTGCATTGGGTATACGTAATGTTTTAGTAGTCTTACATGTGAGCATCTGCATCAATTCAAGTCTTGAATATTCATTTGACATCCGTATCTCTGTTCCAAAAAGCACTATACTCACATTTCTTGCCTCTGATTGCAGTTTTCTCTTTTTTTCTCTGTTTCTACCAGCCGACTGCTGACTACGGTGGAGAGTGCGGGCATCTTGCCATGCCGCTTTACCTCAACAACTGTGGTTATAACGCCGCTTTCGAAGTCCTGGACCACATCTACGGAGGGCACCGGCCTCTGACGGTCAGCATTATACATTTACATTGCTTGTTTAAAGTTAAAACTTTAGATCCATCAGAAGTTCTCTAACCTAGAGCTTTCGACCAGTCACTCTGGTCTTCCTCAGTAGACTGACCCAGTGAGGCTTGTCACGTGGCTTCTTTGAAGTGTGACGTTAACACTGGGTCAAAGGTGTCTGGTAGCATCTAGTTAGGAAGACCAGAGTAACCGGTGGAAAGCTCTAGGTGAGAGAATTTCTTCGTGTTGGATCAAAAGTTTTAACTTTAGACATGTAACTACGAACACAGATAAACGTTCATAACATTCATACTGATGTATTTCAGTAAAAACAACTTTTCATCACAATGTTCCGCCCTAGTGGAGGGGCGTGGGTTGATAAAAATGTTTGCAGAACATACATTATTTTTTGCTTTGTAATTATAATATAATTTTTCATCTTTGCAAAGCATGCATCAGAGAACAGTTCATAACCGTACCATGTAAAAATATAAGCATCGATGTACATGTATAGTTACAAATACTGACTCATTTTCATGGATATAAATATTATGTGTATTTTTTGTGATAGCTTTTTGTGATATCTTTTTGAGATATTCTAGTACTATGCAAACATTATTACTATACTTTCAAACGTATAGGTAACATATTAAATAACTTTATAAAATGTAATTCATGATTTTGTTCCTACAGAAACCTGACCCTTTCAGTGACGTGGCGACCCGAGGAGAGGTAAAGTAGACATTTTAGGCTTATCGTTGGGGAGAAAGATTTATCATTCTGAAAGACATGGAAAGAAACAAAAACGAATAATGCCAAGTTTTATAAACATTATGTGTTGAGTAAAAGAAGAAGGGAAGTATTCCTTTCTTCCTTTAACATTATTTTACTAACCTTGCAGAGCCTTTTATTCAAATATTTTCAGTAAAAGCCTAAGTATAGTCCATATTATATCATCCTTCCCTCAATCCTTCACGATCCGAAATGCCCTGTTGCCGTTATTAACATGCATTACGCATACATATCGAAATTCACCGGGCAACTTGAGTCTGGCGAACAATACTTACGTCACAGTCACGTGTGTGCAAACAGCCTACAAATACAACACGTTCATGTGATCCCATTGGTTCAAGGTGTTTGACCTGGCAACCCTCAGGTTTAACCTTCCAGCATGGCGGACAATACATGCGTCATAGTCACGTGAGTGCAAAAAGCCTATCAACAGGTTCATGTAATCCCATTGGTGTACTGCTGCATTTTATGATGGGGTTTGACCTGGCAACATTCAGGTTTAACCATTCAGCATGGCGGACAACACATGCGTCATAGTCACGTGAGTGCAAACAGCTTATCCTTGTGATCTCATTGGTTCCTGCAGTTCAAGGCGTTTGACCAGAACGAGTTCACGACGTGGCTCGGTCACGGGTTTGACAGTCAGGGGTACGTGTACATCCCATCCGGCTGTGCCAGCAGCATGTCGGGTAAGAACACTAGTAATCGACTCAAATAAATTTTATTATTGACAAAACATTTAGTTATGTTTCCACGTGTTTCGGTGATTCACAGTACCTTTTAGTACTCAAGAATGTTAGCGTTAGAATGTTATTTTTACTGACCTCTGACCCCCCTGCTAACTGCTTACTCTCCAAGCAGAGGTTTGGGTTTTGGGGGTATTTTTAGCGTGTTTTTAAGCTTTTTTATCGGGGTTTCTCTTTTGCACTGAATTTTTTTTCCCACCAAACCCAACCTCTGCAGGCAGTCGAAAGCTTCAAAGGGCTATAAACCTAATCTCTTCAACACATTTCAGTCGTTCTGCAAGGAGGTGTGAACCAGACGCATGAATAGGCAGAGTCAGCAGGAGTCATGTGGCCCAATGAATGTCTTTCTGACTGGCTAGATGTGTGATAGTCCACCACAATAAAATGGATATCCCTAATGACAGTTTGATGGTTCCCGGGGAGGGGCACTATCGCCTGTTTTGAATAGCTTTTAATAGGTTTGCCCCTCCCCGGGGTGAGTGCCGGCAGAGGTTGGGTTTGGTGGGAAAAAAATTCAGTGCAAAAGAGAAACCCCGATAAAAAAGCTTAAAACACGCTAAAAATACCCCCAAAACCCAAACCTCTGCTTGGAGAGTACTAACTGCTAACAACTGTTAGTGTCCTGTCCCCTGTATACGGTCCAAAAAGTGGTCGCTATTCTAATAACCGACCACGTTTTTTTCATTATTCACCACGATGTTGTTCATTCATGATGTTACGGCGTGATAACCGATGGGAAATGGAGGCTTCTCATTGGTCGACGTCGCCCGGGTACATAATAATATTGGTGGAACCTAACCAATCAGTTTTGAATTCAATGGGGACCTTTCTGTATTTCAGACTGCAAGCTGCATGTTCACTTCCATGGGTGCTTCATGGGAAGGTACATTTGAGAGCATTATTACCTCCGTCAAGGAGGTTATGTTTTCAGTAGCGTTTAACTAATTGTAATTTGAAGGAGGGGAAGAATTATTAGTTTTAAATTAATGCAAATCAATACATAACTTGCATATTTGATGGAAAATTGCTATAATACATTACTGGTAAATGATGGGAATATAATACTCGGACTGTTTGTACTTAGGTGGAGGTGAAAATTGTCATATATGAATTATGCTAATTAGGGCTTGATTTGCATAATTATTACTGAGAGTTTATCTGACTGATGAAGGAGGTGTGCGGTCGTGAAACTCTTGTTTTTATTATTAGAAATGGAAATATGATTGATGAATAATCATCTCTCAACTATCAACTATAATTGCTATTGCTCTAATTTTGGAGAAAGGTTTCTCGTAGGTGTTTCTTTTTTTACCACAGTTCGTTTGTCGGTGACGAGTTTGCCCGGAAGAGCGGGTACAACGAGGTGGGAGAACTGAATGACATCATCATCCTGTATCCGCAGATCAAGGGCGGTCTTCTCGCCACGGACGCCTCCGGCTGTTGGGATTGGTCAGTTTCTTAATATGTTTACCTTCGCAGATCCGAAGCAAAACATATTTATATGTTTACCTTCCCAGAAGGAAAACATATTGTTTTTGCTCTGTTTCTTCCTCTTCTTCTCGAAACAAATAAATGCAATGACCTGGACCAGACGTCTGTCACCACGGTAACTAGCATTGTAGCAGACAGCCTGTAGTGTTGGGTTACAGCTCCTTTGTAGCAGAAGGAAGCTAGAGTGGTTACCCACCATATATATTATATATGAATGTGTTTGAGTAACAATAAACAGAGTAGTAGTTTGTTAGGATAGATCATGTGAAGGTAACCTTTATGCATTACCCTTGCAAATGCTAAATATCTAGTTTAACTTCATTAGATCTTCAAACTTCATTAGATCTATATAACAAACACATATATACTGAGAAGAAACGCCTTATTGTTTATATAGGTGAATTGTGAAAATCTATTGTTTGTTGTCTTTCTCCAGGACCGGGTATACAAACGAGAACTATGGTAAGTGAAGGAAACTTCATGATAGAATTTTATTCCGATTTCTCCATGTCTTTATTTTGACGCGGTACGTTGTTAACGTTTACGTTATGAGCTGTTGTGTATTCCTTCCAGCATATAAAACCGGTGTTCAGATCACAGCCATCCACCGCATGATACAGCGCCTCCTAGAGTAGCTGCGACGTACTGCAAGATTGTACGGGAGTCTCAGCTCCGCCTCTTGGTACTGTCAAAAATAACATTTGGGATCAGTTGCAATAAATGGCAATTTAACCGACGATTCACTGGCATATGTGTGTGTGTGTGTATGTGTGTGTGTGTGTGTGTGTGTGTGTGTGTGTGTGTGTGTGTGTGTGTGTGTGTGTATGTGTGTGTGTGTGTGTGTACTCGTGTGTGTATGTTTTTTTGTGTGCCTCATAAGTGTGTGTACCCGCGTGTGTGTATGTGTGTGTGTGTGTGTGTCTGTGTGTGTGTGTGTGCGCGTCTCTCTCTCTGTGTGTGAGTCTCACCTTTAACACTTGATACTGTCGAAAAATAACATTTGGGATAAGCTACAATAAATGGCAAAGTAACCGACGATTCATCGACGCGCGCGCGCGCGTGTGTGTGTGTGTATGTCTGTCTCATATCATTTTAAGAGCCTAAGGCAACATATTAACAGTTTACAGCGTTGTCAGAAGGGTATGGCTTCGTTAAAGATGGTCGTCCTGTTTCTACCCAAACACTGCCTGTTCACCTGTGACGAAGCATATATCCGGGTTTCAGAACACCTCAGGCAAATATCCGAGTGTTAAATGACCACGGTACTAGCCCAGGGTATTGCTCTTACGAACGACAACACGGGAAAAATTCACGTTTAAACTATGCTCAATCTTGGGTAGACGGAGGTTCAGCAGTAGTCGTCGGACAAGTGTGGTAAACTTGTGGTGACCTTGCACTACTGTTGCACCATTGATCTTTTTTTTCAAGTCCCCACATGCGTACGTATACAGCTGTTACAAACCACCGGCCGACAGCTATTTCCTGACTTTAAAAAAAGACACGGACTCTAAACGTCGTACTGATTATACTAGGAGATAAATAAGACGTTTGTGAAGTAAATACTTGACAATCTAATGAGTGTGTTTCGCGAACCTTGAGAGGTAGAGGACAGCTCATTCTTGGAGCGCAGCCATCTGCCCAATCTTACTGTCGAACGGTCAAACCGGAATGATACAGCGCCTCCTAGAGTAGCTGCTAGGTACTGCAGAATTGAATGGGAATCTCAGCTGCTCCGCCACTTGATACTGTCAAGGACATTACTGTAGACAAAAAACACTTGGGATCAGTTTCAACAATGGCATATTAACCGATGATTCACCCTTGTGTGTGTGTGTGTGTGTGTGTGTGTGTGTGTGTGTGTGTGTGTGTGTGTGTTGTTTGCTTGTTTGTTATTTGTGCATATTTCTACCTTTATCCTTCTTTTGTATCTTTTCTGAACTATTTTTATTTCCCGCCAATTTGATATGACGGTGTTTTTTTCCACTGCTTACGGTCCTTGCTCCTTGCGTCAAGACATATATTAACTCCATGCTTGGACTAACGTGAAGCCCAATATTCCAGGCCTGTAGTTTAATTTTGAAACTGTATCATTTCTTTTCGGTGGAGTTTCTTTCACATTAGTTTCCCTAGTCTCCAGAGGATATCATCCATAAAATGAGGTCACTGTGGGCTAATTGAAAAGACAACAGAAAAAAAACAACAGAAAAAAAAACGAAATCAAAACACACCTGTACCCCTTTTTTTTAGCCGCAATCTGCAAGGCAGGCTACCTCAGTGGAATGTCTGTTGTCGAACACACCCCTGGGAACAGTTACACACCCTGTCTTTCAAGCCTTGTACGCAAGCGCGCGCGTGCCCATCCCCCCTAATCCGAGTAATCGTCCCGAGCCGAACCCCCCATTCCTGACGGTTCAGCCCGACAAGCACGACGTGCGCTGAGGTAGGTCTGAGTTTCTTCTGTAGTTTCTTTTTCTGTTACCGATTTCAACCAGCCAACAGACCGACAGTGTACATCATATACTTGAACATGTGTACATTCTCGACTACTACAAACATTTGCTTTCTTAAATGCCCATAACTTCGTTGGGACTTGATACAGAACAGGTACGATACGTTAAAGGCTACCTGAGTGAATTGGAAGATAACATTTATAACATATGACCTGTGCTTGCAATTGTGTGGCAAAATGTACAATAAAAGTCTTCATTCATTCAACGTTTATATGCATGTTGCAATGTAGTCAGGCTAGGCTCACTCGTGTCTGTTTGCAAAAAAAAGGGTTCCAATATGGCCTAGAACACGTGAATCTTTCTCTAACTTAGCAACCATGTTTAATATCTTGACAAAAATCATTTAAGGGTATCATTTTAAGAGCCTAAGGCGAAAGGTGAACAGTTTACGCTGTTCTCAGAAGGGGTACTTACAAAATGGACATTATTACACACCACATGTAGGTCTTCGTTAAATATGGCCTTCGGCCGTCGGACGATCTAACCTGAATCTGCCCAAACAATGCCTATTCACCTGTGACGAAACACTTATCCGGCTTCAGAACACCTCAGGCAAATGTCCGAGTGTTAAATGACCTCGATAGTAGTCTACGGTGTGTCTTTAATGAACGACAAAACTGGGAAAATTCACGTTTAAACTGCGCTCAATCTCAGGTAGGTAACCTGGTGTCCAATCTACCGTGGTTGGGACAGGCTGTCTTCGGGGCTCTAATAGTTTTCCCCCGAGTCCAGCTCAACAGACCGCCCGGTAGGAGTTACGCCTGTGATTAAATGGAGGGAGTTGATCGTTTTTTTTGGGGGGGGGGGGGCTAATAAATCTCCCATCGTGAAAAACCTACCCTGGGGCACGTAGCTGAGTCCGGCGGGGAAGAGCTTCAGCGGCCCCGAACAAAACCTGCCCCAGCCACGATGGACTGGATACCAGGTTAGAGGTAGACGGGGCGTCAGCAGTAGTTGTCGGACAAGTGTTGATTGATAGCCTAGAGACGTAGTGACCTTGCATTACTGTTGCAACATTGATCTTTTTCAAGTCATATATCACACAGCTGTTACATACATACATCAACCACCCGACAGCTATATTTCTGACTTTAAAAACGACACGGACACTCTAAACGTACTGATTATACTAGGAGATAAATAAGACGTTTGAACGTTTGAAGTAAATACTTATGTGTGTTTAGTGAGCCTTGAGATCGGCGGGGAGCTCATTTTTGAATCTCTGCCATCTGCCCATCTTACTGTCGAGTGATTAAACCGGCGAGGTTTGTCAAGATATCTCGTGCGGGCTTGTTTTTAGCTCGGTGTCCAGTCTATCGTGGCTTGGACGGACTACCCTCGGGCCTTTTTAGTCGATCCCCGCCGCCCAGTTGGACTAGGCTCCTCGGTAAGAGTTTTACGCCCCGTAGCAGCAGGAACTACACCCGGTGAGCCTACTTGAACTGGGCGGCGGAAGTCGTCTACAGGCCCGGAGAGAGAAGGCCCAAACCACGATAGACTGGACTCCAGACTGGCTCGTTTTCAAAGCGACACACTATCTATGTAGAGACAGTGACTGAAATCGTAACTTCTCAGTCTTCTCCAATCTTTGCTCAAGTTTTGTCATATTTGTCCGGTTTTCTAAAATCGGTGTATGTCAGGTGTAATAAGGTGTGTACGTTTTCGGCCGGCGTTGTGCTTACACAAAACAAGAGTGGGTGCACCGGTGCCTGAGGCGTATCGAACTGGGGGTTTGGTGGTCTTCGACTGTTTTCTGATTAGCCCAGTTCTAAACGGGGGTAATTCAACCAGGCCGGCTACGTCGTCTATATCTATGTGCAATCAGAAAATAGCACATAAGAGCTCCCAAAGACCCTGAAGACCCCCCAAACCCCCAGTTTTTGGCATACTATAGAGGCTAAGTGGGTACACATGCGCTGGAAACAATGTTGTGCAGTTTTGTGTTGATACTTACCGCCAGCAAATGGTGTCAGTAAATGTCAACGAACTTTTAAATTCCTGATTCTTGCAGGCTGAAATTTGTGGCTGGGTTTCAAACACGTTTCAAGGGTCTTTCAAGTGTACACGTGCACACTATATTGGCGAATTAACATGTCATGAAGGTTGACTTAGGTATGAGAGGTATGAGGCCGGACATCTTTTAAAGGTTTAACATGTTGTTCACATTGTGAGTCCATGTAAAGCTTGTTGTCAGTGGTTCTGGAATGTTTTATACATGACCGCCCACAGTTTGTCTCGTGCTAGCAATGTATGACAAACAACGGGGTATCATATGTACATAAACATAAATACTTCCCTTTGAAAGACGTAGGAACTTGTTGGACGACCCCATTCAACTCAGCCACCGGCGACAGGTAAGGGCGTTCTGTTGTAAGGCAGAACTCTAACGTCTGTATTTCAGACAATTTATTTTGTAGTACTTACTAGTGTTTATTCATTTATTTCATCACTAGACGACTGGGTAGCCCTTTCAGCTTTCAAGAGCTGATTTCCGAGTGAACCCAGCAAAAAAGAGACACCAGTCCTGCATGTACCTGTGGCCATCCCATTGAAAGTATCCAGCATTATTTTTTGTACTGCCCTAAATATACACAATATCGTGCCTCCCTTTTTAGCAATTTAGCTAAGTTGGTAGGATTTGACATAAACCTCAATGATCTCTCTGATGACGTTTTAGTTCATTTATTCCTTAGAGGTTCTGTATCACTATCATATCCAAATAACTTTAAATTTTTACTTTATGTTCAATCATTTATAAAGGAAACTAAAAGATTTGAGTAAAACTTTCCTATCAATTTTGTAAGTTTTGCCTGGAGTACTTTATACATTGTAACCTTATTTATTCTATTCTGTTATTATTAAGCTTTGCATGTCTGTTTTTGCATTTGCTTCTGTATTTTTGTAATGTTAGATGGCGACATGAACATAAGCTCCGGCTTGAGTGTGTCGTCATCCTGTCCACTTTGTTCCTAAATGTTTCAATAAAGAAAAAAAAAAAGAGACATGTTAAATCCGACAAGTCAAAACATACCATTGTCCACAACTCTTAGCCTTAGCCTTAGCCATTCCAAGGTTAAACTCATTAGAGATCAGACAAAAATGGAGTGGAGGTCAAACTGAACCATTCATACGGACATAGTTTTACATCGTAACTTTGTGGATGGAGTGTAGTAAAAACGGTAAAACGTTATCTCCAAGCAGATGTCTCGGTGGCCACAAAATACAGCTATATCCAGTATCCATTCGCCAGACAGGGTGCAGCCTGGCCAGTTTGAGACTATATTTTGCGGCGGCCACTGAAACATCTGCTCGGACATGTACAACCCCCCTCCCCCAAATTGTCTTTACGCTGTGGTTGTGGGTGGGCGTGGTATTGTTCATATCAAAACATAAGGTGGTTCTGTTAAAAAGGTACGTTATGAGGAACAGTACTAACGTCTGTATTCTCAAGAATTGATCATTCATACGGACAAAGCTGTAAAATAGTAAATTTATTTTGTGGAGTGTTGTAGAAACAATACAAGCCGCCCCCACTTTGCTACGCTGTGCTTGTGGGTTAGCCTGGTATCCAGTCTTACGTGATTGGGGGTTTTGGGGCGTTCAGGCAGGTTGTGCCTTCAGGGGCTCTAATAGCTTCCCCCGCCTGGTGCAACAGGCCGTCCCGGTAGGAGTGTTACGCTAATAAGAGACAGTATCTCTCGTGAAATACACACCGGGAAACCTATGTGAGGCGGGCGGGACAGAGCTCTTGCGGCCCCGACCACGAATCAGACTGGATACCAGGCTACTTGTGGGTGGGCGTGGTGCTCTTCATACAGTATCACAACGTGCCCAATCTGACCTTTCACCTTTTTACCCGGGTAACTTACGTGATCGTCATATCAGAACCCAGCGAGGGCACGATGGTGAAAAACCGGCCTGGCTTAAGCTTATCTAATGAGAGGGGAAGCGAGGCGTAAAATAGCCTGGGTGCAAGACTCATAACAAGCTTTTAGCCAGCGTGCCTGGGCCTAAGTGAGTGGGAGGGGGGTATACTTTCCTTGCTGGCCGTACCTCCCACCGGATGGCCTGCTCCCAACTTCCTAACACTTCCTAACATGTCCTAACATATGCGATCATATATCACACATTTCCGAACCAAGTCCTAACCAAGTCCTAACCAAATCCGAACAAATCCGAACAAGTCCTAACAAAGTCCTAACCCAAGTCCTAACGGTCCGACCAATCAGATTCCATAGGGGGGAAAAGCTGAAACACGACACGCCTTGCATAAGCCCTTGTTTTTCCCGTGGAAGCCGCGAGCGAGCCGTGCGGGCGGCATCATGCCGAAGAAAGGACAATCAGACGCCCATTGGCGTACTGTCATGCGACAGTATGCCATGGGCGTCTACAAGTTCACGACTGGGAAGTTTCCCAAGGGTCGGAGGTGGCGGGAAGAGATAGCCAAGATCAGAAGTTGCCCAAAGTTCATCGCCAGCCCCGAGGTACATAGTGATGTCCTGGGGAGGGCAATACAGTGCACTTGTGGCTATCCGCACAAGGTACGTACGAAAATATTTATAATTCAAACTATTTTTTTCTTATAAGCTGAAGTTATTACATATTGGGAATATATGGATGTAACCTTAACGTTAGATGCTATTGTCTTGTTCATTGTGTAACAGTGGTAACGTTAGATAATTGTAGGATTTGAACAAGGTTTTGGGGGATAGAACAGACTCAAGTCTGGACTCCCAGAGGTGGTGATGCAGAGAGCTTTATTCAAACCATATGTTAGTAGAGAGGCCGGGTTAGGGGTTAAGGGATGGTACAGTATACATTGTACATGGGGGATCAAGAACACTACAATAATGACTTATGAAACTGACATTTGTGAGATAAAATTGGAATAGAATTTGTATTAAATCTGTTGTATGTATAACATATATCTTGCTTTATCTGCCTGCCCTAATAATATTCTATAACTGCACTATTCACAAACGTTTCTACAAGTATCCATTATAGACATAGAGTAACATATTATGAGTGACAGTCAGTACAAGATGATCCCTGAAAGGGTGTTTGTGTGTGTGTGTGTGTGTGTGTGTGTGTTAGAAGTGTATTTGTACACTGTCTCCTGGCATGTTTCTTGAGTACCGTGTGTGTGTTTGTGTGTTAGTGTGTTTGTACACTGTCTCCTGGCATGTTTCTTGAGTACCGTGTGTGTGTTTGTGTGTTAGTATATTTGTACACTGTCTCCTGGCATATTTCTTGAGTACCGTGTGTGTGTTAGTGTGCTTGTACACTGTCTCCTGGCATATTTCGTCCCATTAAGCTATGTTTTAGCTGAATGAATGTTTTGCATTTGGTATATACATGTACTGTATTGGTAGATTTGGTGTATAAACAAATTTCATATCTACACTGATCAAAGTGTCAACGACAGACATGTCAAAGAAACTCATGGCTCTTTGTCGTTTGTCCTGCTCTCCACAGACATCCACACCTATTTCGCCTGAAACACCGACAGCCACCACAACAGCTCCAACCACAGAATTTGAGCAGACCACAC